CCGCCCGTGGGGGCCGCCAGCACCGCGGCTGCAGCCGCCTCCTCAGCAGCTGGACTCTCCGCCATCATCGCCAACAGTCCCGGCTACGCTTCCGGGACCTCCGATATCAGCGACAGGGGCGGGCAGAGAGGATCTCTAGGCCCCGCCCACTCTTGACGGCGGGGCTCACCGACCACTGAGTTCGACAGTCCCAGAGCGCCTCCCCAGTCGGTTGAACAGCTCGTCTGGAACCAGAAGAATCAAGGACGAGAAGTGCAGCCCTTCCTTCCGGTTCCGATTAGAATCCGCCTTACTTAGCAAAAGTACAGAAAAAAGTTCGCTGGAACGGACGTACGAGAATCTCCCTCGATTACAATACTGTACTGGGATTTCACTCGAGGGAAAACCCCAGCGCCCTTTATAACTCGCAGACGTGCAAGCCTTGTTTCCTACGGCATTTCCGGGATAGAATCCTTGAAGGCTGTTCTTGCTGGAATTCCGCCTATTGCACCAGTCAAGTCCCAGAGGCCCCCAAACGAATTGTTTTTCTTAAAAATACGCTTAAATCAATTGTTTTTCTTAAACTATTCCACATCAGGAATAGTTAAAAAAATTAAAGGTGCGCTACATGTTTTCTGCAGGATAGCAGACCCAAAGAAGGGCACAATGATTTCCAAGTACTACTGCAAGAAGGAGCTTATAAGTATGCGATGCTGACAGAAAGAAAACAGTCATGCTTGATTTCTCGTCTGCCGAGTTTCAGCGTCAATAAAAATAAATAAATAAAAAAGGATCCTTAGGGCACAAGTTTTCGAGGATTCCACCTCACTTTATCAGATGCGTGGAGTAACGCCTCAGCCGCTCTCACAGATGAATGTGGCCACATCCCTGGAATATGGCCACGGTGCTTTTAAAATAACCACGTCCAGGCGGGAAGGGAAGGGGAGAGGATTGTGAATCACTCCCACGTAACTTAAAATACGGTTGGTTCACCACCCCTGCAACAAAAGGAAACCTCTAACTCTCGAGGCATTTTTACGATACATGCCCTATGAATCTCCCATGATTTTCGCCCCGCAGACGGGAAGAGTCCGGCTGAGCACCTCGCTTCCGCCTACAACCGCAGTGAAACGTCACGCCGGAAATGCTGAAGCCCCGTTTGGAAAGGGGGAGGGGGAGGCGGAATCAGGTTCTCCTCTGAAGGACAGAACGTCCCTTTCGGCCTCGTAACTTGTTCCTAAACCTGTTCCTAAACGCATGGACTCGGGAGTCGCCCCGCTGACTCGTAGGCCACACACTCCCACGTTACGTGGGTGAAAAGCCTACTCCGCTCACCCCGCAGGGCGGCACGGCAAGCACCCAATCCGCCGGGCGGCCCTAAGAAATCCCCTTTAAGGTTACAGGCCACAATCCTTCGCCTCTTTCCTCAGGGCCTCATAGCGCCAACCGCGCTCCTCTTCCGTGGTGCGCGGTATAGCGCCGCGAAGGTCCCAATTAACCTCCAATCACTACAGAGGCGCCTCTCTTCCGTCACTAGAGCGTCGTCCCCCCTCCCGCTTAACCATAGAGCATTTCCCTAGACCGCTCGCGGAAGAGCCGCAAAACCATCCCACGACGGCGAAGGAGCGCCATTGCCCTCACCCTCATTTTTCCCTTCTGGTCTTCAAGAGCCATATATGGAAACCAGTGTAAAATCCCGATGCAAACAAGAGCGGCTGGAGTGGGAAGACCGTTGGCTGTTCTGCAGTTATTCCTCTCCGAGATCTGACAGTTTTAGGAAATGTTTGAAGCTCACCGAGTTCTGTTTCTTAAATGTGGACTAATGGTTGGAGGGTGGATTAAGACTTCTCAGGTGCGGACCGAGCTATAAAATTCGCCCTGAGCCAGTCACTCTAAAACTGACTTGTGTCCTCAGATTATTGTGTATATCATTTTGAGCTACTTGGAGGAAAGGCAGAATAAAATAACAGTATAGCTAGGCATTTCATTCTATTGAAGAAAATACAAGCATTCCAGCCAAAGCAAATCACAGGTGGCAGAATGCCAACAGGAATAAAAGTAGAGCCACTGGCAGAAAAGAGGAAGCACCACCATATTCAAGAGAACAGAATGACACTCCCGCCTGAAAGCAAGAATATATTGCTTTGTCAAAGGCAAGCCCCACTTCTTCCTTCCAGTAACAGACTTGATCTGCAGCTAACGGTTTGTCAGAAAAATAATCCTATATAAGATAGTGATTGCTGCTTAGCAGCTTCTCAGAAATGATTCCTAGTGTGGATACATGGATAGAATGACAGACTAGGCCTGTGGAGAACATAGTTCAAATCCCCACCTGGCTACAGAAACTCACTGGGGGCATCAAACCAATAAGTCATTCCTTAAATACCTCACTTACCTTGAAAGCCCCGTTAGGGTTGGTAGAAGTCAGTTTCAACTTGACACCACAGAACACATGCACATGCTCCTTAGATAAATAGATATTGCCTTTGTGTATGGGCTGGCTACATCACCCGGCATTAGTTAAGTTTTATTTACACAGGAGTCATTATGTGCCCTACTTGAAAAAACAAGAGATCAATACATCTAGAATCACCTGTTACAACTGACAATGGTAGGGCATGTTTTAAGCTGTAAGGTTCAGTAGCAACCTTCCTTTCCCGCCTGAAGATGTTTCTGAACAAGGAAACAAATGGCACACTTTCCTTCTAGAACCTTTAAATATTACTGTAATTAATAGCAAGAGCTATGTCTGAGGAAATGGACTTGTCCACGAAAGTTCACATCAAAATACAGCAATTAGTCTTTAAGATGCCATGTTTGTCTTCATTTTTTATATTTCTTTTTTTACCCAATATGTTAGCAGAGACTAAAACAGCTATCACTTCTAAAACTATTCAAACTTCTTAACAGCCAATAATGATCCTGATTTTCTCATGATTTTTTGACAGATGTATAACCCTACATTTGTGCCAGACTAGAAGGGCCACAACTACCAAAGTAGACATTCTCAAGTTTTTAGCTCTTTGGGAAGGCCCCTATTTCCATCCCATAGGCATGCCTCTCATTAGAGAGAGAGAGCCTTTTCATTGCTGACTCCTAGGCTATGGAACTCCCTTCCATGGGAGACTCTCACCCCTCCCTGCTATTCTTTTGCTAGCAAAGACCCTTCCCATCAGGAAAACATCTTGGCTACTCTACAGATTGTGAGGAAATTAGATTTCAAAAACAGATTCTCCATAATGTTCTTGAATGTTTTTAAAAGTGGCCTTTTGATATTTTGTTTAACTATATTTTAATGATAATTAAAAAGAAACTACATAAGATGTCCTGAGTCCCTGCACTGGAAGCAAGGCTGGATATCAGTCAATCAAAATAAATGGAATCCATGTGAATTGATTAGGTAGAATAGAAATACAAATACATCATGAATAGGCACTGGTTAAGGTTTGAAATCTAATATATGATGAGAAAATGATGAAATACACAAAACAAAAAACTTGGATCTCATTTATTTAGAGAAACTTTGTTTAAATCTGGAACACCCTGACAAGGGACACAGGCTCAAATTGGAGAATGCAGACGGACAGCAGCTGCAGCTTGATTCCAAGGCTTTTACATGGCAAACAAAATGAGGAATGCCACCATCAAGCAGAAGAGCCCCATGGCCTCTGAAAGGGCAAAACCCAGGATAGCATAAGAAAACAGCTGCTGCTTGAGGGATGGGTTCCTGTAAGGAATATACATAAGAAAGGGCTGTTAAAATTAAGTTTTCTCTTAAAGAGAAATCTTAAAAACATTTCCTAAGCCAGAGTAAACACAGAAAGGTCTGTTAAGCAGCATAGTCATATATATATTCCCAATTCACTTTAAGATGGTAGGGATGTTAACTTGTTTTCAAAATGCTGTGAGATTGTTCCTAACATAAGGCTATTCAGCCACATAAATTAATCTGAGAATCATACATTCAATACAATCTGTTTCATAGTAATTATTTTACTAATGAATTTTCAAATGGCTTTCTCATATCCACAACTCAGCATAGTCATATATATATTCCCAATTCACTTTAAGATGGTAGGGATGTTAACTTGTTTTCAAAATGCTGTGAGATTGTTCCTAACATAAGGCTATTCAGCCACATAAATTAATCTGAGAATCATACATTCAATACAATCTGTTTCATAGTAATTATTTTACTAATGAATTTTCAAATGCCTTTCTCATATCCACAACTCTTTTTTTCTTATGTTTGGCTATCCTACAGAAAGATGCTTGACAAGAAAATCTTGGCTATCCTACAGAAAGATGCTTGACAAAATTTCTCTCGGAACCCATTTTCCTCCCTTTAGCCTTCTCTGTCTAGGTTTGTCAAGTGATACAACTCAGTAATTTTTGAATGAAGACGTGCACTGACACACCTTTTCTCATTACAATTCCATATTCTAAAACTGCATTTGCATTCTTCATATGTTTAAGCAACTCGCTTCCCCCACCACAGCCTACTTTCCAAACTTGATTTAAGCTCATTTGAATAGCAGCACAGAAACTGTTACAGCACTAAAATGGGGGCTGATTCTGCTGCTTGACTAAGAAGCATGCTTATGTAGGAATATGTACCATTTTGATAAAGAATTTTAAGACAGCAGGAAAAGATGACCAAATATGAGATGATCGACTCCATAAACAAAGTCAGAGCCCCAAATTTACCAGAGCTGAGCAGGGCTGTTGAGGACAGGACAATCTGGAGATCTCTCATTCATGGGGTCACCATAAGTTTGAGGTGACTTGACAGCATGTAACAATGAAAAGGGGGTTGGTAACTATGAACATGCCACAGTGATTGCCCCAACTATAAACTACCCATTACCTGTTACATTCTGACTGATCACTGGAGGAAGTCAGGGCTGCTAGGTTTTGGATTTTAGATTTAGACTATAGTGCTAGCTGTACTGCTGGCTGCCAAAGGCTGGTAAAAACTGCTTCACACCTGACAAGATGCACTAGCATGTCAAGGCCTTTTAAACATACATTTTAAAAGGAAAATCTGATTCTAAAGCACCCACTGTTAAAAGGAAGAAATGCTTTCCACAAGACAGTTTACCTGGCATAGCCAATGATTAAACTACCAAACACTGTCCCAATCCCAGCTCCTGAGCCAGCTACTCCCACTGTAGCAGCACCAGCACCAATGAATTTAGCAGCAGTGTCGATATCATGGGAGACAGCACTAGTTTGGAATTCCCGACAAGTCAGCTGAGAATTGGAAATGCCAAGGACCTGTGAAAAAAATCAAGGAGTTAAAATGAGGCTTGGGCCACAAACTTTCCAAATCATTTAACCCAACTTTCCTCAAACAATGGGTTAGGTATCTTTCGATTCTCCAGATGTTTTAGACTAAAACTCTCACAGCAGGCGGCCAAAGATGCAGAAGGAAAAATATCTCTATCCCTGAGTTAGGACAGAAGCAGGAAAGGCAAAAAGAGCCTTGTGTGTGGCCTGCCAAGCACTAAGCAAGGTATTAGGAACCTGCAACACCACAAGTGATGATGCTGGATTCTAACTACCATGTGACTCAGCCCGCACAGTCAATGGTCAAGGTGTTAAGAGTTTAGTGTCATCTGGAGGGTCAGAGGTACTTTCTCTAATTTTGGTTCCAAATATTAAGTGACCAGGGACAACATGTATAAATGCCAGGTCATGAACTCAAAACAGAAACGTTGTAGCACTCCAGGAGCAATAAATCTCCATTTTCAGGCTGTCCAACAAAGCCTTTAGAAAGAATATCTCTAATCTTCATCCTGCAAAGAAACATGGCAATCCCCTAAGGCAGCACTGCTGGACTACAGATGTGTAGATTCGAAATGTATGTCTCTGAGGAATAGCTAAATACAGCTGCTGTGTACATAAGGAATATACATCTTGCGACCCACACAAAATAATGTAATTCTGAGGAAGCCTTTTCACATTAATTTAGAATGCTAGCACAGTGTTCCAGTGGCTATAATTCATGCAATGTCCAATTCTGCAGTTTTTGAATGGATAGTGAAAAGGGAAGGAAGAATATCTGCAATGCCAGCTGGAAGATAGCCTGTTCAAAGTTAGGTCATTTTTTCACCTTCCAGGGCAACAGCAGCATGGCAAGTTTGAAAAGCTTTGCAGCTGCTAATTAAAACTTCCAACATTCTCCACATCTGGCTACACTGGTTGGGATAAGAAGAGCTATACGCCCATGACATCCAGAAGTCCACATATTTCCCCATCCCTTCACAACATTGTGGCCTCAGGCTATGAAATTGTCCCTTTTTATATTTGTGGCACCATGTCAGCCACCACAATACATTTCCTTATTATCTACTCAGGAAACATTAGAAGCTGATGGACATTTGGGAAAAACATGTTTGCATGCCAGCTCTCTTCATTTTTGGGGTAACAGTGAAGCTCGCACAAGCAATTCATGAAATATGAACTTGTCCCAAGACATCCTTGTCATCCAATAGCTTCTAAACTGTGAGTGCAATGTAAGAAAGAACTATTGTAACCAAAGAGGAACTAGTCATCACTAGTGAGTTCAAGGTGCAAAACACTGGACTAGCACTCTGATAAAATTTTCATTATTAGGTAATTGTGTTTTGATATTTGTTTTTAATGTAAGTCACTTTGGCATCCCCTTTAGAAGTAAAGGTAAAGGTTCCCCTTGACATTTAGTCCAGTCGTGTCCGACTCTAGGGCACAGTGCTCATCCCTGTTTCCAAGCCATAGAGCCAGAGTTTGTCCAAAGACCGTTTCTGTGGTCATGTGGCGAGTGTAACCAAGGTGGTACCTATTTATCTGCTCCCATTTTTACATGCTTTCAAACTGCTAGGTTGGATAGGATCATAATTAGGATTGGCTAAAATAACTCTTTGATCTTATGCTCTATCTCTAAGCGAAAGGGCAGAATAAGGGGCTACCCCGCCTGCTGGCAGCTGCCGATCATGTTGCCAACGCAACTAGACACTGAACACTGTTACCTTCCCACCGAGGTGGTACCAATTTATCTGCTCACATTTACATGCTTTCAAACTGCTAGGCTGGCAGGAGCTGAGACAAGCAACGGGAGCTCACTCCGTCGTGTGGATTCGATCTTACAACTGCTGGTCTTCTGACCCTGCAGCACGGAGGCTTCTGCGGTTTAACCCACAGCGCTGCCACGTCCCTTTTAGAAGTAGTGGGGTACAAATAAACATTAACACAAGTAATTAAAATAGGGCAGCAATGTTGAGCCATGTTGTTTATTTTTACCTGCACAGTCTGAGTCTCCGGTCTGCTCAATATAGACAGGGAAGCTGGCCTGGTCAGAGCTCGAGAACAGCAGCGTAACTGGGAGTGGGATAGGGGAAAAGACATTTAATTAAAAATCAGAATATAAAGAAGTGCTCTATACAAAGGCCAGAATTATCAATTCTAACAGTGGCTCTTCCGAGTCTAGGACTTAGCTATCTTCTAAGCTTCCTATTTGAAATCCTTTCTATTATAGATGCCAGGCACTGAATGTCAGATTATACTCACAAAACAAATTCTCTCTGGGGAGGGGAAGAACCTCCTCAATCCAGCATACTAGGATTATTCCAGTTCTGTATACTATAATCTAGTAAGTACTGCAAGAGGTACCTAGTGTAGTGTAATAGATTGAGTGATGGATTACGATCCAGGAGGCCTGGGTTTGAATCCCTGCTAAACCATGGAAACTCATTGGGAAGTGGAACTGATAAAACCACTCCTTAAATACTGTACCTCACTTCTCTTAAAAGCCCTATTGGGGTTGCTGTAAGTCAGTTCTGAATTGATGGCACAGAACAAAAATGACAAGTACTGTATTACAAAGGTAAAGCAATCCAGAACATCTCATTAATATAAACCATATTGAACAAACATGATTGTTTATTCACCTACATAGTTCAGATTTTATACTACTCTTTAACAGAAGTATCCAGAGCAGTTTACTGTAAACATAATGTGTTGGATCTAGATATCATCACATTTAGGAAAAGCTCAGTGACATCCATGACCAACGTTAAGTCCCACTGATTTCAATCAATCCCTTCCAAGCATGACTAAATTTGAATGAAATCTATAAAATAATAAAGCATCTGAAGTACAGTGGTAACTCTAGTAGACAGCACTTAGCATCACTCCAGAATGAAGTTGTCTAGTGATTCTCAATATGTGGGTTCTCAGATGTTGGGCTACAATCCCCAGAACCCATCATCAATTGGCCAGACTGGCTGGAATGTCTGGGACCTGACATCCAACAACACGTGGGGAACCAAAGTTGAGAATGAATGAACTAATCAGTGGCCTCCAATGGCATTTTGAGACACAGAAGCTACTTCTAATTCTCACTTGCAATGTGATATCCATTTAATTTAATACTCTCTTTCCAGTTAAGGGTTTATGGATTCTTTCATCCTAACTTTAAAGATGGCTTCTCTTTATTTTAAGTCATTTTGGGAGATAGTTTGTTGTTATCAGCTGTCAAGAGATATTTAAGGAGTGGCTTTACCACTTCCACACCCCCAGTGAATTTCCATGGCTGAGTGGGGATTCGAATCCAGGCAGCTTAACTCTTAGTCTATCACTCTACTCACTACACCACACTGGACATTCTTGGGAGACAGCAAGAGTAAATGTTTCCTTATGAGTACTAATTGTAACACCGCTCTGTGGAGCAACTAGGATTCAGACTCGTACATCAGCTGAAAAACTATGAATTACCTAACTCTGAGGTCTATGACAAATGACAGGCCTAAACTGTCTTCTTCCCATGCAAATAGTTTATGATTTGACCTTAGACCACAGGAATGCCTCCTATTCACAGAAAACTCACAATCCTATGCAAACTGCTATTTTAGCCACAATAGTACATGGCTAAATGTGCATAGTAGGAGCAGCAGCAGCATCACACCTGGTGTTTCTTCTCATTGGCTTCACAGATTCCATGGGTGAATTTGGTTTAACACACCCTGTAGCTGTTCTGCCCTTTTGGAAGGATCTGATCTACCTTTTGTAATAAAAACATAGCTACTCTTTGTTGCCCTCACAAATACATTCAGATCAGGGAAGGATTATTCTATTTTACTTTTTAAACAGGAAAACTGTGAAGTTTGTCATACCAGCAACTAACACAGGTTTGTATGGGCATGAGATTAATTAAAGATTTGGAGACTAGTATTTGGACTTACAGACAAAGGTACTTCAAAACCATTCAGAAACCTTAGTGGTTTAAAGACTGACTGAGGTTCAAATGGTACTTCGGGGGGGGGGCATTCTGTGGCCTTGGACAACTCACTCTTACCTTTCCCTCTGTAGAATGGAGATATAAGTGATCTACCTTGCAGGGTAGCTATAAAGATGTGTAAGTTAAAGAACACAAAGCACTGAAGTACTCTCTCTCCTGTTAGGGCACCTGCAAGCCAGAAATTCCTTACCAGAGCTGACGAAGTCAGGAATGCTACTGGAGCCTGCATGCTGATTATTCTGAATAAAGAAAAAAAAAGCTACATTTACAAACATCCTAAAATTACTTCCACTGAGTTAAAGGGAAAGATATTTATGCAGGAAAATATGTAAATAAAATAACTAGATGCTTTTATCTCTTCTTACCATTTCAAGTACGGCTTTCTATAAGGGGCTTTACAATCTCTTAACACAAAATTAAATGGAAGGGTCAGAGCAACCTTGAAGAAATAGTATTAATTAGTTATCTGCTAGGAGCAAGTCAGAACCAGATATGGTAACAAGTATTTGTGCAAAGTGACCCTTAGTCATAGAAAAATACTGTAAAGTGGAAGACATGAAAGCCATGATTGGAAGGACAGTTACAGCTCTGTCAGTCTGAAACAAAATTGCATGTTTTCTTACATAAGAGGGAAGAATCTGCTGGATACTGGAAAAGGTACAAGAACGTATGGCTGACTGAAAGTTAGGTACTTGTGGAAGACCCTACACACTTTCCTACAAAGCACCATCTTAGAAAATAATAGATTGCAGGGCTTTTAGTAAGTCAGCCAATATTTCAGAAAAATAACGGACTCTTGCTCCCAAATTTATGAATTTCTCAATTTTTTTCTTGAACTGTTCCTTCCACAACTCCTTCAGCAAGCAGAATGCATCCTAAGTTCTCACAAGGCAACCTTATACACCTTCATCCATTTACATTTATTTATTTATCTGATTGATTTATACCCCGCCTATCTGGACTACTCGTCCACTCTAGGCGGCTATTTATAAACTCAGAGGGCCCATGAATTATTTTCGGCCCATCAGTTACTACCTTTTGCCCTCTTTCTAAATTCTATCATTTTTTTTGTGACAAATCAAATCCAAAGTGACTCTGAATATAGTAGTTTTCTCTTAAAACTTTGGAAATAAAGTCTCCAATGTAGCCCACTAAATAAAGACAATAGAATTTTCTTGAGACATTTATGATCTAGTGTATTAAGGCAACACCCAAAGGATGCTTAAGGCTATTTCTATTTGGCGTGCAGGATTGTGGCCCGAATCCGTTTGCCCTCAACGTGCCACAAGACACACGAGGAATTGCCTTCTTTTAAGACGTACAACAACGAGACCCTCAACAGCTTTCGGGAGGCACGGAGATTTTTTGCTTTCTTTCCAAACGCGAACTAGCCTTTGTTAACTTGTTACAAAATTAATGAGAATAAAGCAAACACCGGCCTCCCTTCCCCCATTTCCTCCCTGCACCCATTTCTGCACGCCCTGCCCTTGCTTCTCAAGAGGCTGTCTCCTCAAGCCTTCCCCCCACCCCTCGCCTTTTTTTTCACCGTGCACAGGCCCCACCGCGGACCCCGCAGAGGATGGGCCTCCATACTAACCTTCTAGAGGGGACGAAAGGTGCACAAAACCTCAAAGCCGTGTCTCTCTGGACCAGACAGCCAAGCCCCTCCCGCCCTCGCTCACCTTGCCAATGTACCACTGCGTCCTCCGCTCCTATTGGCCGCCGCGACGCAAGGAACGCTGCCCGGGTAGGCCCCGGAGGCTCACGGGACGCAAACCCCGTCGCCGCACGCGATTGGCTGCCGACTTACCCTGGCCTATTTCTCCCATGTGAGGATTGGCCCGTGACTGGACGCAGACCCCCAGGGGTGTTCCATAGAGTACGTCAGAAAAAGAAGACCAGAGAGGAAGTGGGGTGGTCACTGATATCTTCTTAACAGGTTGGAGGTCATTGAGAGGCACAGCACTGTAAGGACATGGTGAAGTCACATGATACCTGGAGGCGGGGCGGTAGTTCGTTTCATGACGCAGAAAAAAACATCGTGTGCTTACTGGCTACTTTTCTGATGTGAGAACATCCGGTAGGTACGTGTCTATTTTTGCTATGATTGGTCGATGTTTCCATGTAGCGTACCTCTCTCCGATGAGACTCTCATACGTCGGTATTTCTTGACTTCGCTATTCTTTATTTTCTCTTGGTTTTGACGATTGGCGGGTGACTGCGAAAAAAACCCGACTCCATTGGAAAGCACTGCCTGTGAGTTCATGTGGACCGTTTGTGAGAGGTTTTCACTGGTGTCGTAGAAAGTTTTGAAGCGCTGGTAAAAGCACTCCTTAAATATCTCACTTACCCTGAAAGCCCCATTAGGGTCTCTCTAAGTCGGTTCTGATTTGACTGTACCTATCAACATCAGCCGTGTAGGCTTTAGGAGTCTCCAGAACTCTTCACCAAGTAAGAAAAAACGATGGAGGGTAGGGAGAGAAAAATAGAAGTCCAGATATTTGACTAGATATTTTAAGCCATTGAGGTGCATGACTAAACTCAAACTCAAAATGGAGAGTAGAAACTATATGAGTCACTAAAAGGTATGTGGTTATCTTAAGCCATCTAGCAAAGTCCCTGAGATAAAGACAATGGGGTAAGTTCTCATTCTTAGGAACCAGGCATCTTCACTACTGGGAGGCCCTCTGCAAAACTAATGGATGAAGCCACTCCAAAATAATTTGCGTTTAAAATAGCCTACAACAATATATTGTTGCTGAGCAGTCTCACCTGTGAGAATTGCGGCTAGTCTCAAAAGGCAGAAGGAGATAGCTTGGCAGACAATGTTATTAAGCTTGCTAATTGAAAGAGGTTAATGCTTGGACCCTGCAATACCACTCTCTCCTAAATTGTTGGTATGTTTACATATGTGACAGCCCATTCACTAGTTGCTGCAGTCCTCAGGGAATGAATATCAATGTGTAAAGCAGACTCTGTATCATAATCCTGCTCACATTTACTGTGAAGAAAATATGAAATAGCTAAATACAATTTGAGCTCTAACTTAAGTAAATCTATTGGTAACAATTGGATTTACAATAGTGTTGAACAAACAGTCCCATAATTTCAAGGGGTTTACTTAAATTAGGATTAAATTGGATTTAGTTCAAATAGTGCAGTGAGATTTAGTCTCTGGTTAGGATTTCAGCCTTGGTAATATGAACATGCATGTCAACTTGACATGCAAATGTGCAGTTCTAACATCAGTACACGCTGTGTAGATGGGTTTTAGCTTGTGGTTGGTCATATCTAGCTTAAATAGACGTCTGGCTAATCTTTCAAAGCGATAGGCTTATGTTTCCTCAGCTGCAGGAAACAAATTGTCAGTGGCCTCCTTACACTTGGGAAACCATGTTTTTAATGAGATGCTTTCTAAAGGCCTAGGACCACTTCAGCTGAAGCAACAGATCAAAGAGGCAGCAGAAAATACCAACAGTTTCAGTTCTATACATATTCACTCAGCAGTAAGCCTTGTTGAGTTCAATTGGACTTACTCCAAGTAAGCAGGTATTGCAGCTTGGGGAGACAATCAGCTGGGAGTTAATGAGACGGCAAGTACCTTGGGTGCAGAGTCTTTCTCTGGGTATTTTATGTGGGGCAACATCTGTTTCCTTTGGAAGAATAACTGTTTGCCTCATTATATTTTGTAAATAAAGCAAATGCTGCAAAATCACCACGAGTCTCTGATCTCTTATCAAAAAAAGCAAAGTTAAATAGTGGAACTCCCTTTCGAGCAACTAACAAGTATGTGATGTGTAAAGCAACTCTTGGAATAGTTCAGACAGTATCAGAATATCAACAAATAGAGCTACATGTCCTTCATCTTAGTGTCCAAAGGGGCATGTACAAATAACTATTGTACATGATTCAGATATTTGTAGATTTATGTCCCTCTCTCATGATTCCCTCTTCAGTTTTCTGCACCATCAGTTTCCAATTAGTTTTGAAGTCTCTTACAAGAGACAGCAGTCTAATGGTGGTAGTAGATGGTAATTTTAGATTTAAATTCTCCTTCTTGCCCACTTTTGATGCATTGGAACCCCAGTATTCAGAGCACCATAAGTCAGTATGAGATAGCTTTAGATTAGCACATTTGTTTAATTACTAGGACCTGCTTGAATCAGTATTCAACTTTTGGCTGATTTTGAATACCAAACATTGATCCTGAAATGCAGAAACATTAATGAAGACAGTACAGTACCTCTAAAAACATGTTAAAAAGTTATTCCTTCAATGTAAAGGGCCACATTATACATTAGAGAGAGCATATTGTCTAGAAAGCATTTGATTATTGCAATAGTCACTTTTCACATGTTCAGTAGTTTGCACAAACTAGTTTGCTTTGTTCTGTGATTGGTCTTTGGGGGCAAATATGGACTTTTTTTTTACAAGTCTGATTTCTCAGAACAAAGGTATGCCAAAATCACAGTTCTAGTGGTGTGTGTTCTCTCTAATGAAACAATACAGGCTGGCAGCCCATCCTTCATGTATGTGGTAATGGTGAGGAATTGGACAAGCAGCGGGGAACAGGCTGGCTCTTCTGAAATTTTAAGCACAGTTCATAAGTCCACATGGATCTGAATTCAAATGGCAACATAGTCATGGGCACATTGCTTTTCAGTCTTTGTTTCCCTTTTGAAAAATTGGGATGACAGTAGGTGATTGTAAGGAACAATGAAATGGGAGGGGAAATCACCTGCCTTACATATATTGCAGACTGTGTCAAAGATCCTGTTGCAAATGGTGTAACTTTTGGAGTCAAATAGCCTCCAGTTAAGATGTCCTGGGAGACATTATCAGTTTCACTGAATGTGCAGCTCATAATGTCTACAGTACAGTGATAACTTGGAACAATATGCATCTAAACATTTTGGTACTTGTGCTACACCAGCATAACTAGGTAAGGGCATTTTAGCCTATACATCAGTCTTTATAATAAGGTAAAGGTAAAGGTTCCCCTTGACAATTTTTGTCCAGTCGTGTCCGACTCTAGGGGGCGGCGCTCATCCCGCTCTTCAAGCCATAGAGCCAGCGTTTTGTCCGAAGACAATCTTTCCATGGTCACATGGCCAGTGTGATTTAAACACGGAACGCTGTTTACCTTCCCACCGAGGTGGTCCCTATTTATCTACTTGCATTTGCATGCTTTCGAACCGCTAGGTTGGCGGGAGCTGGGACAAGCAACGGGCGCTCACTCCGTCGCGTGGATTCGATCTTACGACTGCTTGGTCTTCTGACCCTGCAGCACAGGCTTCTGCGGTTTAGCCCACAGCGCCACCACGTCCCTAGTCTTTATAATAGTAAAGAGATAAATTTGTTTGAAAAATAACTCTCTGCATTTGCCTTGCAACTTATTTTCTTACCATCTGAGCATCTTTATTATGGAGCTACTCACCTAAGTTGTGTTGATTTGATTCTGAACCTCTGTTTCTTCTTTGACAATGACTAGTTCTACCAGAGAAAAATTAGAAAAGAAAATGGCTATATAAATATAAATGCAAGAGCAGGCAATACCTTTATTAGACTACTAAAAAAGCAAGCAAGCGGCTATACTGTATAAATATAAATGCAAGAGCAGGTGATACCTTTATTAGACCACTGAAAAATCAATCAAGCAGCTATCTTTCAATGATAATTCTTCTTCCTCAAGATGTGCACCAAGATAATGTGGATAGTTCAGAAAAATTATGTATAAGAGTCCCGAAGTTTCATGGTAGTTTTTCATGCTAGGTCTGCTTCTTTAAGATGAGTTCAGAGGTAGCTTGTGAGATGTGTGTGTGGTTTCAAACTCCTCTCCAGGCAGCAGTTGTTTGGTATTTACCTCCCAGCTCTACCAGATAACATTGAATACTGTACAATGACAAAGAAAGGCTGTAACTGTTACCTCCAATTACCTTGCTGACAATAGTATCACAAAAAGGTTATTCTGAAGCAGACTTGGGGAGAGGATCATGTCCATAATCTCTTCAGCTGGAGGATCTGTTATTTTATATTCTGTACTTATTGGATCATATCCCTCTCTTTTGCCTGGTTTGATACAGATCTGTCAGGGCAGTTATCAACCAGCAGGAGGAGATGTTTCTCTCTGTTAAGCATGACTCCCCTTCTCTGGAGTCAGTTAGCCCAACTCATTGCAAGAGACTGGCAAATAACTTATTTTCATAAGAGATGCTAGGGTGGCATTCTCCACTGTGCCTCATGAGAGAAGAATCAGCCTGTATGGCCTTGTGCAAGCTGCAGTCCCAGGGTACATCCAGAAGAAGAGAATGATAAAACATGTCTGTGTCCCTACATCCCTTATGTTTCAATATACAGTATGGCAAGAGGCATGAGGTGAGGAATGCTGAATGGCTGCCAACCCTTAGTCTAACAAGATGGGAAGGGACATTTTAATCCATGCCACCAGAGGTGGAATCTGAAAGCTACACTTCTGGACTCAGTCTGCCTTTCCCAAGGCACCTGGGTAAACACATCTGGCCATGGTTTGGGGAACATTTTCTCCCCCTGCACTATCTATAGTGT